AGTCTGGTGTCAAATGATTCACTGCTGTCAGGTTATTGTTTGATTTATTCAAAGTATCGATACCTTTGAAAACTGTCTGTACCAGTGAATGCCGGCTTGATTGCATGATAGGTTCAAACATTGTAACATTTAACTTAAGGTTATCGAATATGGTTAAAGTACAATTTTCATTTAAAATTGCTACACTGAAGGAGGTTTGATCATTAGTCGCATTTATTGGTCATATATACATGTATATAGTAATTATTTTTTAATTTAAATCAACACCTCAATTTACATTAAATAGTTCATTCATTATTTGTGTTAAATTTCATAGTTAATGATAGTCCGATGTAAGTTTTATCAAAGCTATTCGTGTAAGTAACATCGTTCAATATTTTGTTTTACAAGTATAAGCTAAGTGTAAATGTGATATCGGAGGATATTTCCTTTGATTCGTTTTACATTTCTCAAAAATTTTAACGCTTTATATCTCACGGAACCTTTTATATATATTTCTTCAGGAAAGACTAAAGATTGATTTCGACAGATATCATCCAGCCTACTTGTTCAATTTACTTGTAGTTCTCTTTTCATAACCTGTTGATTTGAACAGTCAATCTATTTATTTATTAAAACTGAATGCCAATTTTTGAAACCACTTTATTCATAAAAACTACTTGTAGTAAAACAAAACAGAAATATGATATATGTACTGAAGTGTTTATTAGTGTTATTTCTTTAAATAAAAGTTTAAGTTTTAAATTTGTTTTCAGAAAATCGACTGCTGGTCAAACGGTGAATCGATATAGGTGTATAAAACTTTGTTTTGTAACAAGCAGTAAACAGATGAGCAAATAGATTAAATTATAAAACAAAGATCAATATCTTATTTACTCCCATTAAATACCCGACTTCACAATTATAATATTTACAAATTACTACTTGTAGTTAAGCAAAATAGAAATATGATATCTTCATTGATTGACGTGTACGTTTTATCTGTAAATAAAGAAATCCAGACATGTTTGAATTTCACTGGTGTATAGTATAGAACAATGACTCCAAGGACAGTCAAAATGATCTTTAAAACCAAACATAAAATAGAAGAAGCAGTATGATCTAACTATAGGTGCAGGGCGCGTATCCGGGTATATGACTAGACCCCCTTGCCAAAGGCCTCTCTACATCCAAATAAAATATAAATATGAATGATATTACCAAAAAATAATAGTTTAATAGAAAATTAGTACATATATTTGCTATTGCAATATGTTTTATCACAATTGTATGTATATATACATAAATATGTCCGGGCTATAATTGTGAGGCGTTAATAAACTTTCAACAAGTTACATATTTCATTGATCTATGAATATATATATATATATATATATATATATATATATATATATATATATATATATATATATATATATATATATATATATTAATAGATCAATGAAATATGTAACTTGTTGAAAGTTTATTAACGCCTCACAATTATAGCCCGGACATATTTATGTCTGCTCAACATACAACTTGATATTGAATGAATTGTTGTTTTAATAATTCAACATAGGAAACATTGAACTGATAATCTTTCTGTAAAATAAATGCTATTTAAGCTTCATCAAAATATGATTCGCAATATAAAGAAGAACGACAGCAGCGACTGTAAAAGCCTGATATCTTTCTAGTTACATTCCCTACCATTGACTTCATCTTATTACAGATCATTCTTTAGGATAAGACTTTCATGTATATCAAACTCAAATTGACATGGCTCTTTGTGATCTTGCATTTATGGTCAAATTATTGAATTTTCACCGACTTTCGCCTTAATTGACAGTCACTGTAACTTGATAATTAGTAAATTAATTATCTTCATACTTGGACAAAACAACATTTTAAATAGTACTAACCATTTACAATCGAGGTTTCTTGAATAACTCTTCAAATGTAAAATTGATATGAAAATGATATTGCGTCCCTTTAAACGATACTTACCATTGTTTAACCTTTTGTTTGTTTATACATTTTACATAGACATGTTGAGGCGTAAAAAAAATAGATTTTTTAAATTTAGGAAAAGTCGTAGTCTAAAGTCAAACTGTTCGAAACAGGAAAATTTAAATACCAAACATTAAAGAGCTAAAATAATAAGAGAAAATACCAAAAAGAAACATGACGACCTACGGCCAGTGGAGTGTGTACAGGTAATTGATTTAGAACAAAAGAGCAAACTTGTTTTCATTCAAAAAATATTGACGTGAATTCTTTGTTAGTTTAAATACAATTGTTTATTATCATTTCAATATGTAATTAACGGCAAATGGCGTCTCTGGTATTCTCTGTGTATTGGACAATGTATGTCATGTCTATGTCTATAAATCATTCGTGATGACAAGTTTAACGTCTTTACTGTCATACAAAGTAAAGAAAAATTAAACAATAAAGTAAGTCATTGATAAAATCTATTGTCAGATTATAGTGACTACTTGTAATTCAATGCCCAGCATGACGAAAGAAAAGGATTTATGATAAATTTTGAACGAGTGCAGAAATGTTTGATTAAATAGAATCATAGATAGTGAAGATGAATACATATATCAATTTAAATCATTTCTGCAGTGTTCCTATCATTTGACTCTGTTTTAGTAATACAACATGTTTTTCACCCCACATAACTCACACATCTTGAAGAATCTTTCCTTCTTATAGCGAACTGTCCAAGGATGCTAAGAATATCACTTTCAAGTATAACATCTGGACTGTAAATACGAATTAAGGTGGAATGGTATTCTCTTTATTATATAGCTATTAATTCCCCTGTCTACTGACTCTCTTCGTGCTAAGAGTAAAACATGATATAGAAGAACAACTTCAGTTACATATGTTATATAGTGCATGTGTAAAAAGTATTGCTTAAAATTTAAAGTTCAGATTTATTTAAAAGAAAAGAGAGTATATGTCAGTGTTTGAAAATTTGAAATTGTCTGCACGATAATCAGTATCACAAATAATTATTAAGTATATTAGCAATCTATTGCAATATTCTGGTGTCCTGTCTTCTAAATTTATTTTTTTTAAACCGGGAAAGTCCAAATTAAAATTTTTGGAAAAGAGACCCCTCAAAAGGCTTTAAAAACCACCCAAAATTAAAATAAAAATTGCAGACCCCGAATTTTTGGGTCTGTACATGGGGGTTTAAAGGGCAAAAAAGAAACAAAACTCATCCCCCTACACCTTCTTGGGGGGAAAAAAAATTTCTCAACTTAAAAAAATAATTTCAAACCCCAAAGGCCAAAAATATAAAAACCCCTGAAGTAATTTCGGGGGAAACATCAAACGGTGCCACAACCCATTGACCCTGCTTTTTGTTGTTAAATATCTGGAAAAAGTAAAATTTTTTTGGAAAAAATTTAAAAAACCAGCAAAATTACTTTAAAAATTAAAGACTCGTTTTGTTTGAGTCTGTACATGAGGGAAAATGAAAAAAGTGCCACAACCCTCACGTCCCCTGAAAGTCGATTTATAACCAATGAACACATATGTAAGGGCATACTATACCAGATAATTTAACGACGCTTTGTTGATAGCACGTGACTTTCATTTACCAAAATAGAATTTAATCCTCACACTGAATGAATGTATTGAATAGGATACCCTCTTTGTAAGTGCATATTGACTGAACAATATGCGTAAAAATAAAAATTGTCTATTGTAAAATGAGGAACTAATTTGAAATCTCATATATCTATATATATATATTTATTTATTTATTTATCTATTTATTTATTTATTAATTAATTAATTAATTTATTTATTTATTTATTTATTTATTTATTTATTTAAGTAACATAGTAACGCTTAGTTCGTCGTTTCGGTGTTCATTTTCTATTTCATACCATAATTATATTTGTTTGTTATGAAATCACAAAATAAAGTGATATATTACAGTGTTACATGTACGCTGCATACAGCTCTCAACAAATATAGCTCCCCGGAGAGATTATGATGATTATATGGTGATAATGATGGTGATGATGATGATGATATTTATAATGATAAACGTGTTGATGTTTTTATGAAGAAGATGATGATAACGATTGTCGAGTTGATGATAACGGCGCATCAAAGCAGACAGCGATAGAAAACAACTTACTGGTTACTTATTGCTGGTTCAGCAAGGGGGAAAACGTTAATTCTAAAAATTAATAATTTATAATGATACATTTGTAAGTCATTTAAATCATTAGCTTATAGGTCATATAAATTACAGCAAATACGAATCGTAGACCAGAATTGAAATTATAAACTTAGAGATTTTAAAATGTAACTGTTGGTAACCATTGAGCATATAAATGCATGGGAGTTGGATCCATATTTCTTCATTTTTATTGTTAAGATACCATAGTAAAAAACAGGATCATTTTTTTTTTAAAATCGTATAATTTGGCAGAACATGATTGATAATTATATGAATAAATAAACAGATATGCGACTTGCAAACAGGTTCTTTTAAATATTTCTTAATTCACTCAATGTTTAATTTATAACAAAACTTTTATTTAAACGACAATGTCTGCAAAACAAGGTTATATTTTAAGTTTTGTGTATTTTTAAATATAAGGTCGTGACAAAGCAATTTAAAGAAAATCAAATATTTACACGATTGATATATTTGAACAAATAAAGTTTTGAATTATGTTCAATTAATACATGTCAGACAGCAAGCTTAACACGTTACATAAAGTTGGAAGATTGATAGCATACCAATATATTTACAAAATCAATTTATTTAATAATACACCATTTGAATGATTTTAACAAGCCAAACAGAAACATGATATTCGTCTTTCAACAACTATTTTTCTTATTCATTCATACGAACTATCTATAAATAGACCAAGCATTAAGGTAAGAGTTGTTAAATTTTCATTGGCTAACATGCAAGCGGTTTTTTGCAAATAATAGCATTGAAACTTTTAATTCAAACAACTATTTAAATTCAAGCAAGGGAGGCATATATTCAACTACATTCTTTAGGGGAAGATAGTAATAAGTTTTATGTGATCAAATGCACTACTGAGATTTAAATTAAAAACATTGTAAGATGAACATTGTGCACAATTTCGATATCACTTGATTCAAAATAATGTAAATGGATTAAAGAAGATACTTTACCGTAAGAAATATATTTTAAATCGTCTTATATATGTAGTATCATACATGTTTCTGTATTAGTCAACTAATGTAGTTATTTATTTGTACTGTATTTTCACATTTTGTAATCAGGCATACTTTTATACATGGAATTGCAGATGTCATTTTTGTTGAGTTTTCTGTATTGGGATTTTCAAATACATTTTCCCGTCGCTTTCGGTTTCCGAAGATAGACACATCGAAGCACACAACCACAAGATTTGTTACCAAAACTTGGTAAAAATTTAGTTATTAATCTAGAGATATGGGTCCTTTCTTTTACTATATGAAGAAGCCACTTTGCGTTTTATATAAACATTCTTTTTTATAAATATCACTACACGCTAACAGACACTATATAACAAACGACAGTCGAACCTTACTTCACTAAACAATTACAGAGATCAAACGCGTGCTAACAATATAATGATGCTTTTACCCCTAAAATCGATACATAGATAAACAGAGCACGTTAAGTCGAGATTGTATTTATATAGTTCTATATATATTCAATGGATAAAAGGAGGGAATCTTTTTTATTCCGAAAACATCATTATAGGCCTGGTAAAGCTTAAATATAAATAGATCTTATTAAAAGGTATTTAACACATTGAATATTAATGTGTTAGTTATTCATGGAATAACCTTATTACGATTGTCACGAGTCTTCACCTATGCCAGATTCAAAATGCGTCCAATGAACGTTGCCTTTGTCTTGTTGATCTTTATTCTCGATTTTAAGGACAAAAACAAAAATGTTTGGCTAAATTTTTTATAACAGGCACAAAAGAATAATCGCGATATTAAACATGCGTCAGAATAAACCATTTTTGTAGAGAAAACTCTGAATTTTTGCTTTTTAAAATCTAATCTAATTTGAACATTTATTATTAGAACAATGTAAAGCAAACACGTTACCTTCAAATATAGTTTTAAGTATATGCCATACTACAAGTCACATATCTATAACCACTTATTAAAGAGCACGTAAATTGCATGGGTCCAAAAAATATCTATAATATGACTACAACAATTATAACACACTATTTCACGCGAATATAGAAATTCGTTTAAAATAGTTTGTAATAATTGTTTTTTAATAATTTCTTTATGGATATAGTTTTACTTAAATTGCTCCCATATGTATATCACTTTCCCATGGCATGTCAGGACCTGGTTGGATGATTTCAGTTGAAAATTAAAACGTTTTACATCTTCATAACTTTTCATTGAATGACACGACCGTGTCATATCAAGGGTACGATGACAGTTATCGTATGAACACATATCCCGGTGTTTCTAAATTTCAAATTCCACAACTGTATATTTAAATGTTGAATTCTGATAAAACCGTTACAAATTGGAAGTTATCGATATGCTTCACTTACCTGTAGCGTTTATGGACAGACTTGCAATGTTTTGAATTTTGTCTTAAAAATCGCCCCGTATATTCAATCAAAGATGTTATTTTTTCGATTCTTGAGGACATATTGAAATTCTTAAGATAAATTGCCAGTTTTTGTTTATTTTTGTCTCTTTTGATTGACGGCTTACGTGTGATTTGATGGCTTAATAACCTACTATCTATTTTGCGGTTGTTTCCTAACCCCAAATGTATAACTTTTATATTTAAATGTTGAGATCTGCGTGCGTGTATGTGCGTGTGCGCGCGCGCGTGTGTGTTTCAAATTGTGTGGTAATGTTCTTACGCTCTAGAAGTTGAAATGCTGAAATGGACCTGGTATTCTTAGTTTACCTTTAAAATATCATAGGCCAGGTAAGTAACACACGTATGTCTGTTCCGCTCTTATTAAGCCAGTATATACCCTAGACCTGATAATTTGGCTTGTTATTAACAGAATATTAACTATGTACCAGAACTTTGCTAGAACCTAGAGCTTCAACGAATTTGTCAGTATTACAATAAGAAGGAAATAATGCTGTTCACTTGAATTTATATATCAGGTTTTATAAATTAATTTGCTGATTCCCAGATTATATAACTGTGTTCTCAACTGATGGAACCGAGTGTCATTAAACAACATGCCGCGTATCCTTAAAAATTGGAACCTTCAGAACTGTTCTCAATATTAACTCATCCGTTCTTGAAATTACAATTAAAGATGTTGAGAATAAAACAGAACCTTTAAAGGCAAATTAAGTCTCTCTATTTTAGAACATGCGCTAAGAGCATGTTAAAATATCCCTGAAAAATTATAGTCCAAAATTTGAAATAATTTTTATACAAGTACCAAATGTAAACAAAGTGGTATGTTATTTATTTTTAGTTCGATTGTGAAGGAAGTTTAACACAGTCTCGAATGCGTTCTTGGAACCAAACAGTACTGAACAATGAGTGTTAAGTTTCTTGTTAAGTTTTCCTGTTAAAACAATACTACACAATTGTTGTTAAGTGGAATATAGTGAAACCACTTATCATTAAACCGGACACTCTAATAAATAGATATAAGTTGACATGTGTTTGTTTGTTTTGGGTTTTACGTCACATCGACAAAGTATCGGTCATTTCGCAACGTTCCAGCTTTACTGGTGGAGGAAGACCTCAGGTGCCCTTCCGTGCATTATTTCAGGCACGAACGTGCACCTGAGTAGAACCACCGACGTTCTAAAAATTGTTATAACCAAGGGAACTATATCGTTCTCGAAATCCATACCAATAAAGTGAAATAGATAGAGTTATACCCTTTGTTAAAAAATTTTGAAACAGAACTTAGAGTGGCTTATAGATGAACTAAACTGTCAGGGTTTATTATGATTAATCCTCTGTATCATTTTTGTACCAGACACCTTTTGAAATCTGATACCAGACAGTGCATGCAGAGATATAGAAATTATTTCATTGATTTTGGTGCAAATTCGCAAAGTTTAACCACAAAAACATGCAATTTAAAGTGGTAATAAAATGAATGTTTTATTCAAATAATTGAAAAGCTGTTTTTGATTGATATTTATTTGGGAAAGGTACGCATCTTGTTTGAAGCACTGTTAGACATGTCTCAATGTGATCTAGTTATTTAATTCTGTATTTAGGAATGATGCCCATATAAATCTCAGGGAGGGATTAATATTACCAGCTTGTAATAGTGACAATGCCTTCATTGTAAGTCAAAGGTCACGGTCCATTAACTCGGCCAAAGTTTCTTGGCATAGAACTGTTTATGTTCAGTCGTAGTTTAAATTGGTTTTCCTTGTATTCTACAAATGTAGCTAAAACTTATTATTTTTCTAGAAATCATGATGGCGCACGAGATACATTTAAAGAACAACAAATACCGACAGTGGGTCAAGGCAGGCCTAGGCTTAGGTTACCTGAAAGAGGGACTAGCACCATTTTGTGATGACATTGGAAAACAGCACCACAAAGATATTATAAACCAAATTCAAGTAACAAAGACGCCTAAACCAACTATACCATGTGGCGTCTGTCAGATATCTACTCTCCAGCCAGACCACGTCCGAATCTCAAAAGGAATATGTCCACTCAAGCAAGATAAATGTAACTGTTGCTTTCCAAATAATAAAAAAAACATGCCCAAACAACGTGTGTGGTGCCATCTATGATAGCATTATACAGAATCATGCATCAATACCACCTGCACCTTTTTGGAAAAACAGCGATCCCCATGATTGGTCCGTTGACCCATGGAGTATATGTAAATGTTTTATAAATGCTCCTGGGTACAAGGACAAGACGTCAGCAGTCGACATGGACTGCACAGGGTTATTACATGTTATCATAAATAACAAATATTTTCATAATCATATTGGATGCAATGTAACAGGACCAAAAAATCTTTTTTCAAAGGTAAGTCCTTTTGTATACTCTTTATAAATGTTTAATTTTGTTGAATACTATTATCATAAGAATTAAATCGTTACTGCACCAAGGTGACGATAATCTCTTTTATTTTGAGAAAGTTTGATACTTTCTTATTGAATTTAAATATAATTAACCCATTACTGCATTTAAGTGACGTTATGTCCATAAATCCATGAAGGAGATACAGTTATTTTGCCAGAGTTACAATTAGCCATAATGATTGAAAATTTGTTATGTAACACATTTTATTGTGATTAGGTATAACAGTTTAAGCTAGCCTTAAAATTGACCCTTGAGTCAACAAACTGAACAGAAATTTTGATCAGCACTTGAACTTAGGGTTTCACATGTGGACAACTTCAATATACCGTTTCCGTTCTTTGCATTTTTGTCCCCAACCTTTTCAAAAAAATAGCGGGATCTAGAAATAGACTCCGCTTGTCTGTCTGTCCGTCTGTCCTTCTGTTACATGTCATGTCCGGTCAATAATTATGTAATTTATCAAACTACTTTAAAATAACTTGGCAGAAATATTTTTAATAATAAGACAATGTGTCATGCGCAAAAGCGGACCCCTACCTCCAAGGTAAAGGTCTCACTTGGTAATTAAAGGTCAACACTGTCTATGAGAGGGTGTATGTCATGTTCCAATCTATAACTTTCTTATTAATGGAGGGATTTTGATAGTACTTTATACAAAAACATTCAAAATGAAAAAAGTATGTGTTCTGCTCAAAAACCAGTCGCCTACCACCAAGGTCAAGGTCACAAATGAAGATCATTTTTTAATGTATTAATTACTACTGGCATGTCCAGATCTAGCATTGATCCAATTTTGCACTGAAAGTCCAGATCATATCTCAATCTTTTTAAATAACACAATTATGTGTTTCATGTAAAATTCTCTAATGTGGGGGACGTTTGTAATTATGTTAGAAATTCTTGTTTTTTGTGTTTGAGGTATATTGCTTAACAGCTTTAATTTTAACTAAGTCCTGTTTAGTCTCTTTGTTGATCACAGCATAGTTATGTGTGTATATTCGACTTGGATTTGTTTTCCATTTAATAGGTACGGCAGTACAGAAATGAGATTTTTCACTCCAGCAATATGGAGCTAGAGGAAAGGGTGGCAAACGCATACATTGATGATATGATAACAGTTTTACAGGATGGAAAGGAGCTTCTACACCACCAAGCTGCTCAACAAGCTGTCGGGAAACTCCAAGATGTAAGTATAAATAGTGAATTACGTGTATAAGTTTGAAAATCTGAAGAAGTTTAGTTATGACTTAAAATATCACATCTTTTAATTCCAGACATATTATTATAATAAGGGTAATTGAAAAAAGTGCTCGAAGTTGGTTGTTTTATCATAGTCCTTTTTAAGAAACAACCGCCTTAAGTTAACATACAATGATAAAATCAAATAAATATGAAATATATATGTCTTTAAAATATTAATATTAGATGAATATATTTTTAGATAAAAAGTGAAGTAAAAAGCCTGACTATCAGATATATTTACCACACATCATGTTACAAAAGCGAATTCTAAGTCCTCAGAAAAAGTACGAGAGATGAAAAAAAACGACAATTTAGTTAATTTTGAAATCAAGCCTTATCTTATATAAAAATAGTTAGGTAAATAACATAAATCAAATAGCTGCAACTTTATCTCTGATAGAAAATTTACCAAAATTGTTATTTTCATCAGTTAAAGAATAAGGACTTCATTGTTACTACGGAAGGCTTTCAAGAAATGCTTAGACAAATTAAAGAAGAAATGTCAAAAATTCTGAAATCAACAGAAAATGCTGCAACTGATTTGAAAGAGGAATATGACGAGCTTAAAAATAAATTAACGGACATTGAAAGACAGATATCCAAAGGAGAAGAGGTAAGATTTAAAGTTACTATTAAGTTTGTCCGATTGATATACCAGAACATGTACAAGCAAAAATGTTTAAATGAAACTAATGTTTGTATAGTAGAACAGTAATATTAGCTTGCGCTCAATAAAGTAAGCAAGTTTTGGTGTTCTTTTGTGATACCCGTTGTGTGTTGTTATCCACATTTTAATAATAAAAGTAAATGTAACTGTTACTAAAGATAGACAAAAGTGATTTCACGACAGTAACTATAGAAAAGAAAAATATATTGTAATAAAAGTTGAATGTAAGAAAGCTTATGAAAAGAAATAGCAGGGCATTGATGTGGGACCCGGCAGGTTCGATGATAATGTCACTATTTCGTTAAATGGATAATTTGTTTCTGGTATGAAATTTAATATTATTGTAATAATCATTTTAGCACTAATGTAACAAAATAAAATATAAAACGAGTTCAAATTTTGTTTCGTCTTTTGTCACTTCAAAAAGTTAAGATGGTTTGTATGGGTATCAGTCACCTTTAGTGATTGCTCTAATTGAACAGGTTTGTTTCATAAGTAAGTCTCAGAGCTAACAATTGATACTAAAAATATACATGTATTTTAAAATGAATGAGGTATAAAGCTTTGGTATTACAATGTATGTAACATGATCTAGGGGTCCTCTTCAAAAGATGTTAAAATGATGCCTCTGCTGTTAAAATTGCCATTGTTCTAATGTCATGGAATTTCCTCATAATTTTTAAGCAAACATTGAAAATATATAATCTAAAAATCCCACGGTTATAGGATATATATTTTAGCACCAAACTGTACCAAAATTGTTCAAATTATGACTCTTGGTTTTTAAGATTGACCCTGCCGTGGTTGGCCATGTGTTTTCTATTGATGTACAATATACATGTTAAGTAAAAGTTTGCGATTGACTTAAAAAAACTCGTTATGGGTGCAAATGCAATCAAGCACTTTGGATGTTTTCCAGAGGGGGAAGCTGTACAGCTAGCTTATGGAACGTCGGCGGTTCTACTCACATGCCCGTATGTGTCTGAAATAATGCACTGCTTGGCAACTCTGATCCCCTTTTATTTAGTTCCGCCAATTGTTTTCTCGTTCAGGGAACCATTTCACCATTAACATAATTAAATGTTGAATTTTGCTTAAGCCGGTGCTAGTGGGTTTGAACGGTAAATTTCACTTTAAATTACCACACAGGAATAGGCTTAATCAAATCAAGCCTGCCACATTTACAATTTTGCAGTTTTGTACGTCCTTTATGGATTCTTTATTTCTGTCTGTTTTGGCACCTGAAGTCTTCCTCCACCAGTAAAACTGGAAAGTCGCTACATGACTTTTACAGTGTTAGTGCAGAGTAAAAACAAACCATATTATCAAAATGATCTTACTCTCAAACAAAAAGAACTAGAGCATAGACATTTGACATGAAACATAAACTAGTACGCCTCTACAACCCTAGTTGAAGCGAGAGGGTTTTAAATCTAAAGTATAAAAATAATCAAAAGTCTTTTTCGCTGAAACAACCATTGCTTCTCAAGGTTGTGAATACATCTGTATATGAAATAAAAAGTGGGTACATTGTATATTGATAAAAAGTGACATTTACCTCCCATTTGACATTGACCTTATTAGGACTTTCACAGTCTTTGTCAATTTGTTTTATTCTGCTTAAATTACAGTAAGTTTGTAAGACAGATTTGATTCATACTTTGACAAAATACACTTGTGACAACACCAAGTGGATACAATTTTGATCTTTAACTAATCTTAACTGTTTACAGTAAATTTCAACATGTCGGCATAAACCATGCGATAGATTGTGAACAACCTTTGCAAACAAATGATCCTATTCTAAACATTTACAAATTGATATGAGTCAGATGAATTTCTTAAGAAAGTTAAATAATTTTAATAAAATGTATGTGCAATTGCACCAGAAATGTCGGGAAAATTCTTCTTCAGGAATAAATAATTCGTCCGTAGCAATAAAGTTGATTTTCTATGAAGGAAATTAAATTGTCTCAGTACTAAATCAGTCATATTTCAATTCGATGTTTTTGTGATAAGTTTGAACACTGTGTGTAAGACAGACTGAAAATACCAATATTTTTATACAAAACACATTTATGAAAGTTACCGAATAAAATACAATATTTGTTATCATTATTTCTGTTGTAGGAGAAACAAAGACTCAAGGAAGAAGATTCTTCTAAACAAAGAGAACTAGAATATGAAAAAGCTAAATCAGGTATGCTTATATCTCCTCTCCTAATGCAAAGCGGTCTCCGTCCGTGTGTGCTTCCGCAATAGCAAAAACAGGCGAGGCGCCATCAAAATGTAAACATAACAAATGAGGAAAAATGATAGTTCGTTATAAAACAATAGAGTAAAAAGCCAATGACACTCTTAAACAAAAATAATAACAAAGGAAATATACCATTTTCCTTTTTCAATCGCCTGTGTATTTGTCCGTCCTATTTGTTTTAGTAACAGTAACATTTACAATGACCCCAATGAGTTTCAAAAGCAATCCCAGCTGGGGTCTTGATTGTAGGCTTGCTATATGCCAAGTTTGATATTTCATTCCTACTTCTAATTAATGTCCGAAATTATTTTACATTTGTTTTCGTAATAAATAGTGACCTTGACCAAGGGTGGACCAAAAGCAATATCATGATTAATTTTGGGTTATGGGGCTACACGTTTTTGCACGGAGATGCCAAGACAACAAGGCAGCAATCATTGTTGACAAGCTAAAACAAACCATTTCTAGCAAGACGTCTATTAAGTCTGTATGTTTAATAAGCATACAACAATTATGTAATTAATATTTTTAACCATCTGAATCTCATTTACCAATAAGTCTGACACTTAAATGTTTTTAATTTTACTGCAAAAGTGCATATTACACTGGATAATAACGGGGCATAAACAGTTTATATAAATATGTTTATTAATGGCTTGGATATTGTGGTTTATTATCACCAATGCTACTCTGGGACATGTGTTGCAGACTTTAGGAGAACAAAGATACGAGACAACGCCCTCTTGTTTATTTTGTATCATAGATGTAACATAGAACAGATTTAGTGTTAAATTAGCTTTAGCTAATAAACAATGTTAATCACATATATGTATATGTTAATAAAACATACAGAAGAACTAGAGGTCTAGTTATAAGTGTGTTGTTCAAGCTTGACTGCAGTCACGCTGACTTGCATATTTATTCCAAAACGTCATTGTGTCCATTTTCCAACACAAATCTTGGAATACTTAACTTGCGTATCACGACAAGAATTAGGTAAAATACAATCGGCCAACATTCTGACAGCTGATTTTGGAGCCATGCTTTCTTCTTTCTTACATTTTGTCGATTCTGTGCTTAGAAGTAGAATGATTTGAAAAGTACCAAGGTATCAAGAGGAATCTTGGAATTCTTTATTATAATGAGTGAAACAAAATACATTAACCTGAAATGGTTATTCAGTGTGGCGTTTCTTCTCTACATAAACATTTGTAAAATTGGACAGTGATTGAATACTATCAACGATGTAATCCGCATTCTTTGCTAAATAATGCAGACAAGCAGTTCTGTATGCCAATACATACAACTTTACGTTGTAGTTTCTGATAATGGACATATTTGGTTTATACTTGGACAAACCAAAAATTTGTGACACCACCAACTATGTTAGTTTTGGCTTTAATCTGTAACTTCGCCTTTTGCATGTGTGAAAAAGGACCAAGGACACTTTTAAGTGTGCTGCTAGAGTTATGTCCCATTTTCACAGGGAATGCAGGTCATATTTTTTCTCAATGAATAACATTCATACTTGAACACAACAACACTCATAACAATACTTTAAGTTGACCAGTCTGCACTTGACCCTCAGCCATGAGTCAAATTGTTGAATGTTGCTTGATTTTAGATACAACTGGCTATTATTTTGTAATTCATAAATGATTTGTTTATATGCATGGACACAACAATCCATAGGAAAAGAACTTCATGTAGACCAAATGATAAGGACTTTCCCTCATGAATGACTTTGACATTTAAGATCAAATCATTGATTGTTTCTATATGTTTTTATTTCGCTATGAATTTGTTATTTATGAATGGATTGTCTCCAAACATAACAATTCTAATCTTTGATATTTGCTTTTAATTCAATTTCCTGTGTTATTGTTTAATATTAGGATTTTAGTTGAACAGTTATTACAATTAATAATTAAAATACATTATCTTTAAATGCGCAATGCGACTAAACTGCCTTTCAGTTGTGTATTTTTTAAAAATCCTAGCGGTCAGACCTCCATTGACTTACACTTGTGGTGAATTCGAGATAACATATCTTCATATAAATTGAAATTATTGTAATGAGAGCTCTCTTTCCTTTAAGAGTACATATTGTGTATAAATTGCTTGTGTCGGCAAGAAGGATGTAACGGTATATATAGCTTGTGTCTGCAAGTACGATGTACGGTATATATACATTGTGTCAACAAGGAGGATGTACGGTAAATATAGCTTGTGTCAGCCAGAAGGATGTATGGTATATATAGCTTATGTTGGCAGGTTGGATGTACGATATATATAGCTTTTGTCGGTTAGTAGAATGTATGGTAAATATAGCTTGTGCTGGCAAGTAGAAACGGTGTACACATGTTTTTGTCGGTTAGTAGAATGTATGGTATCTATAGCTTGTGCTGGCAAGTCGAATGTATGTACGGTATATATAGCTTGCGCCAGCAAGTTGGTTGTACGGTATATTTAGCTTGTGTCTATAAGAAGGTCGTAATGGTATATTTAGCTTGTGTCGTCAAGTTGGATGAACGGTATATATAGCTTGTGTCAGCAAGTCGAATGTATGGTATGTATAGCTTGTGTCGGCTAAGAAATTGTAATAGTATATTTAGCTTGTGCCGGCAATTTAGATGTACGGTAAATATAGCTTATGTCATCAAGTAGAATTTATGGTATATATAGCTTGTGTCAGCATGTTGAATGTATGGTATATATAGCTTGTGTCAGCAAGTTGGATGTATGATATATACAGCTTGTGTCAGCAAGTTGGATGAATGGTATATATAGCTTGTGTCAGCAAGTTGGATGTATGGTATATATAGCTTGTGTCGGCAAGTTGGATGAATGGTATATATAGCTTGTGTCGGCAAGTTGGATGAATGGTATATATAGCTTGTGTCAGCAAGTTGGATGAATGGTATATATAGCTTGTGTCAGCAAGTTGGATGTATGGTATATATAGCTTGTGTCAGCAAGTTGGATGAATGGTATATATTGCTTGTGTCAGCAAGTTGGATGAATGGTATATATAGCTTGTGTCAGCAAGTTGGATGAATGGTATATATAGCTTGTGTCAGCAAGTTGGATGAATGGTATATATAGCTTGTGTCAGCAAGTTGAATGTATGGTATATATAGCTTGTGTCACCAAGTTTGATGTATAGTATAAATAGATTATGTCAGAAAGTAGAATGTACGGTATTTATAGCTTTTGTCAGCAAGTTTGATGTACGGTAAATATAGTTTGTTTCAGCAAGTTGGATATATGGTATATATAATTTTTGTCAGCAAGTGGGATGTATAGTATATATAGCTTATGTCAGCAAGTATTATGTACGGTATATATAGCTTGTGTCAGCAAGTTGGATGTACGCTAAATATAGCTTATGTCAGCAAGTTGGAACAGTGGTATATATAGCTTTTGTCAGCAAGTTGGATGTGTGGTATATATTGCTTATGTCAGCAAGTAGAATGTACAATATATATAGCTTTTGTCGGCCAGGAAATAGTAATGGTATATATAACCTGTGCCGGTAAGTTGGATGTAACGGTATATATAGCTTGTGCCGGCCAGAAGGATGTATGGTATATATAGCTTGTGCCGGCAAGTTGGATGTTACAGTATATATAGCTTGTGTCGGCAAGTAGGGTGAATGATGTATATAGCTTGTGTCGGCAAGTTGGATGTATCCGTATATACATGTAGTCACAAATAAATTTGACCCATTTAGTCGACTCTTCCGTTAACGAAGGGATAAACGTTGGCTGTAAATCTGATGAATGCATCAACTGCCATGTTTTTTATATCTTAAGTTTATCTCAACCACTATATTACGTTTTCATGACGTTATTAAAGACCCTTGTTTAATGTCCATTCGGACCGATAGACTAAATATGGCGTTTGGTGGTCTCTTTGAAAAGGCTTGCTAAAGTGACAGTGCTCCTAATAATATAGGATATTAAAATTTGACAAAAGGAAGGTGCCGAAGGCATGACGTATTTATCGATATAAGGTTTATCTTGTTTTTATTTCTAGCTCAGAACTTATACTGTACTTCAATGTCAGGTTTTAAATAAAATGTTAAATGTTTAATAAAATGATCAAAACTTTTATATGTAAACTTAAATCTAAAGTTATACAAAGCTGACTGACTTTTGTCTTTCCGGTACGTCAAATGAACTTCAACGTAAAATCCTGTATTCAAAATCCTCATAGCCGAGATAGACATATCACAGAAATCATATAGACCAATGAATATTGTGTTCAGAGTCAATAAATATTGTTTCTCCTGTCATTAAACAATAATTTACTCGCTTTATACCGAAATTGTTTGCTAATGTTAAATGAAATGATATGATAAATATTCATTAAAATAACGTTCTGAAAGTTGCTTTCATATTTCCACATGCACTTCGTTGTCTTGGTTTGAAATTGTACGCATTATTAAACTGAAATCATAATTTTTTAAGTCAGTTCTTTATACAGTACGGAGGTCTGCCGAAAAATCTGCTTGCCCGTACTTAAATCTTATTTTCCACCGGAAGTTGACATCAGCGCTCATAACAATGACATGATGTTTGTTTGTTTGTTTCATTTCACGCCTTTTCCCTACACTATTTCAGTCATATACGCGGGTAGTTTCCGAACCATCGTTCCTGCAGAGTTACACCAGCACTAGACTACCTTCCTCTGCGCTAAACTACCAAAGCATCTCCCGGGGATCGAACCCACGCCAGAGAAGTAACTGGATAAGAAGTCATTGACTCTAACCCCTCGACCATGGAGGCGGTGTTTGACATGAAGTAGCAATCTATAGCAATCTATAGGTTCCAACATGTATCAATATATTAAGCCGACACTGTAGTCAGTTTTAACTTTTGTTGTTCTGGAAACTGGTCAATGTCAAATTATTTGTTGAAATTGTCATTACTTTGTTATTTACGTATATGTTAGTGTTTATTAAGTAAACTTGTGACAATAGAATACATAAAAGGAAGCGACCGTGGGTCCTAAATTGCTAAAAGGCACATTATGCCTAAGAAATCAATACATTTTTATTCTTTAGAAATATCAAACATGTGTTTAATAATGTTTTTAAAAATGGATTAAGAGAATGTAAGATATTCAACAATTGAAAAAGTAGGGCTGAACTTTCAGTGATATGAAAGGAAACAAAATGTAAACAAAGTAGCATTTTGACTTACATACAAAATACTTATTCACTTAAAATACCATTTGCCAACGAAGAAAAATAAACAAAATTTATTTAAGGAACATATGGCAAATGAGTATTTCCTTTGGAAACTGTAACAAGATACCAAATATAAAAAACAATTGAGAAAAGAAAATTACAGAATTTCTAAGGGATAATGGGCCTTTAATAAAAACGAACTTACGTAGTGTTTAGCCTTGTTGGGCCTGCTGGAACGCCTTCAACCTATAGTTGTTTACAATACGATGGATGGAGTTAAGATAGCACTGTAGGAGCACATTTGTCTCGGATCACATTTGTCTCAAGAGGTGTGACCGATGTGCTCGTAAACATTCACATTTGCGACAAATTGGAAATGAGACAGATATGTCCGACACAATAGAAAGGACAATCGAAGCACATTTGTCTCACATTCTTCCATAAAATTCTAAAAACAAGTAATGATTATACTCTTTCGTATACCGGTTACTATCCAATGTTCTGTGTTTTCTGTATTTATTATACGGTTTTTAGGTCACTTTCGGTAAAAAAAACAACAACTTTAAGCCCCTCCATAGGAGGCATATATTAACCATAAGTATATCCCTGTTCTGCATGTAACAATGATAATTTCTACCAATGCAGTGTCCAGAACCAATTCTTATCGTTATTAATTGTGACACATTTCTATCTGATAATTAAAGTTTTATAAAGCAACAACAAGGTATTATCTGCGGTTGCATAGAGAGAACATGGGATTTTCTTATCTATAATGTGCGCATTGTAGGAGCACATTTGTCTCGGAGCACATTTGTCTTACGTAAGACCAATGCTGTCGCATTTGTCCCACATGAGACAAATGGGACCTCAAATGTCTACCCCAAAAAACTCATTTGTGTGACAAATGTGCTCCGATCAAGTTTTTTAAGGGACAAGAAAGCACATTTGTCTCATGTGTTTTTAAGGGACAAGAAAGCACATTTGTCTCATGTCATTTTTTATGAATTATTTGTCACATTATTCCCACGGCAGAAATTCTTTTTTTGAATCGAGGTTCGCCGTTTTACCTTATGTGAAGTGTAATCATCAATAGGTTTGCTTATGCTTTCTTTATGAAAACCTAAAGTGAACTATTAATCAAAATATCTCTAATTCAAGTAACTGAAGGCGTAC